TGAGGTGAGTGAAATGCTTTCGGATCTTTCTCCCCCTCATAAAAGGCATAATGAATTTCACTGCCAGGTCATGGAAAGAGTCCACGGTCCCTCTCTTGAGGCTCGTGAACCAGCGTTGTGCCTGGTCGACGAGAGTGGAGAAGAAGGCTCTGCACATCATGGCCTCCGAAGACCCCATTAGCATCATGGTGGCCTGATAAGTCATTATGTGCTCTTGTGGGGATCCCTGGCCGTCGAAACGTGTGATGCTGGGCGGCTTGAGGGTGGAGGGGATGGGCTCCCTCATGATTCTCTTGGTGAAGGGTGGGGTGACTTCGATCTTTGGGACGGGTAATCCGCCCCCTTCCTTCCACTTGAGCAGCTCGGCTATCTTAGCCTCCACACCTTTCGTCCACCCCCCAGCTATAGGGCGGACCGGGTATCCACCCTGGGGTCCGCCGCGGCCTGGTGGGCGCTTTCTCCCTCCGACTCGTCATCGCAGGCGCGCCTGTCCGCATCGCCTACCCGGCCCCACTCCGAGCCTCGGTCCTGGGGTGCGATCCTCCTGTTGCCCACGCTGGCGTCGGCAACGGGCTTCTCGCGTTGCCCCGGGCCGTGATGAGGGAAGCGGGCCTCGGGGGCCGCGGGCCTTGCATTGTTGGCCCCGCGATCAAAGCGGGCGGCTTTCTACGTGGGCAGAGTCGAGTGGGCCCACCGGACGCCAATAGGAATGCCTCGTCCTCCGTTGTGGGGGCGGGATCTGTTGTCCCACGTCGGAGATTGGCGCCCTCAGGAATCGGCTTTGTGATCCCATGATCGTCTTCGAGAATCAGGCGTATAACACAGTATGGCAAGGTAACGGGTCTGAGAACACGGCTCTTCGTCGCGAACCCCACAGACGGTGCCAATGATGGTTTTATTGTAAACGGGTGCACCTTAAACCAAACAAGTGAATACAGATGATAGAAGTGACTATACTATGCTAGGAACACAAGGCCCAGATTCCCTGACCCACTATCAGGCCCAACGATAAGCCCAACTTGACGACCAGCGATTGACGCTATCCAAGATCGATCCCGCGACCGCTTGCTGCTCGCTCGGTGATCCTTACCACCTCCTCTACCCCTCACACCGTATCCCTTTGGATTACGACCCCCCTCCTTTTATACTGGAGGAGGGACCCTCCGATCTGACCACGTGGATGGCAACGACACCGCTCTCTAGGGCCATACGCGTGCCGCCTTCTACCGCGCATCCCACGTCCCCCTCGCACACACTCAACGTCGTACGTGCACCCTCGTCCACGCAACCAACGCTTCCCCAACCCACATTTCTCTCCTGAATGATACCCCCGCACGCTCGCCCGTGCGCTGGCCGCCGCCTCCCACGTACCACGCACGCACACGAGTCGCCTCCATCCCGCATGCATGCGACCGTGTAGCACGCGAGCCGCCGCCACCCTCCATGTATGCGGCCGTGTAGCACGCGAGCCGCCGCCACCTTGCATGCATGCGACCACATGGCCCGCGGACTGCCGCCACCTTGCATGCACCCCTACCCTGTTGTTACACACACCCACGGGCCTGTTTACTGGCTCCTCCGTCTTGGGCTTGCATCCCTCATGCCTACGAACACAGGCCCATCTCATTATATTCCATCAATTATTAAATTACAAAATCATATATATGAATGAATAAAGCTCATATCACATTTTTATATATAAAATTTAATAACATTAATAGTTTTTATAACATTGTATAATTTAATATTTTAAATTTTTAGTATGTATATCACATAAGTGTCATACTAATAATTATAATATTTGAACATACTTTGAATAAATTTTTAATTTTTTGTATATATTCAATTATTTTTATCTTAAGTAATATCCAAATATTTATAAAATAAGCTTTGTTGTTAAAAATGTTATTTTGTAGATCATTTAAATATCACATAACAATCATTGATGTTTTCATATATAATAAACTTTAATTTCTTAAACAACATCCAATTTCATTAAATGGTTGCAAAGGAGCATGAGTATTCATACTTTTCTAATTTTGAAATTTCATGTTGAAATTTTGAAATATCATTTATATTTTCTCATGAGAAAATAAAAAATCTTTTATTTATTGTATATAATTTGATTTTCTAATTTATTGTATATAGTTTGAATTTAATTGAATAAATGTCAATTTTTTCAAATCTCATGCGATATCTTTTTTTTTTTAGTATTACCCACTATATTACAATGTACTATTTGTTCATAACTATCTGATGTGGTATCTAATGACACAATGCTTTATAATATATGTTAATAGTAAGTGATAATGTTCAATATAAAAACCAATTTAGTATTGTTAAAGAAAAATACATTTCAAAATAAATTTTCATCATTAATGTTTGATTTTATCATTTTTTTAAAAGAATTAATACCGAATATAGTCATCGACTATATCGGTTTTACTCAATTTAGTCCTAAATGACTTTTTTTGCTCAATTTAGTCATCGACTTTGATGATTTTACACAATTTAGTCCTTTGTTAAAACTTCTGTTAGTTGACTGTTAGAAATAGGATCCTAATGGTAATTTCTCATCCTTCATCCCATTTAAGATGGTTCCTTCTTCTTCCCATTATTAAGATTCACGCATAAATGCAAATCTTCGAGGACTATATTATGTATTAACTCTTTTTAAAAATATTATCAACAATAAAGTTACTTAAATTTTATGACGTGCATCGCACGGGGGGCAAATATATTGTTCCCACTTAGTTCTTCTTGCTCATCTTGAAATAAACACCCATATTTACAACATATTTCCCGTGCATCGCACGGGGACAAATACTAGTTTAAATTAAATCTAAAAACCAATACTCAAATGATTGAGCACAACAAATGATGGAAAACACCAAAATAAATGAGGATATTTCAAACATATTTCTCATCAATTTAACCAAATTATATGACCACGTGAAAATTATTACAGAAACATGATTCATAGTAAATTTTCAGTCACATGAACAATTGATCGACGAAGTAAGACCTTTTACTTGTTCTAAAACTAAAAAAACAAAAAAATAAAAAACAAAAAAAAAAAAAATAAAAAAAATCCATCTGTACCACATATTCAAGAGAAAATAAAATATAAAAACCATACATTTGTATAGAGATATAATTGGGTAATAAAGATTGAGCTACCCAAAATACAATCCAAATTGTACGTTATGCTTGTTGTGTTTTCTTCTTTTCGTTGCGCTTAGAAGTTACAGGCTTCCCGAAAAAGCGACAGAGACCGCAACCGGAAAGCTTGGGAGAAGGAGGATCAAATGACGGCGGCGAAACATCCGCGGTGGTCGATTTGCTACGCTGAACGGCGGGAGGTTCTACCTCGGTTATTTCTCCTGTATATTCTCTGGTTGCAATTTTGTTAAGCTCCCCTGAGTAGAACATGTTGGACCAGACCACCCCTGACGAGCCTTGACTTCTAAACGAAACGTCTGATCTTCGCAGAGCTGCCTCCATTGTTGTTATCCACTCTTTCATTCCCTTGAATTGGCCCCCTTTCACCATCTTTTATATGATGTCGGAAGTTTTTCAGGATCCTCCTAAGGTGGCCCTATGCGGATATCTTTCCATATCAGGATTATTCTCATTTATTATTATTGCATATCTGCTAGCTAATTACCTTATTATTATTAATTAATTAATTAATTAATTTTCTATACTTTTATTTAATATTAACATTAATTTAAAAAATATTTTCTATAATACAATGTATTTCTAAAATAAAATTCTTACAACTCTTAAATTGTTTAGGAATGATTGAAATAATTTTAGACAATATTTTTTATTTTACTTTGGAAAAACATGTATATACTTTTAAGAAAATTCTTCACAAATAAAACTCGTAATCTTCAGATCTGGGGCAAATTTTACTTTTAATTATCAACTATTATGACATTGCCACATTCAATCATATTTGTTTTAATTTTGTCTTATTCCATCCTTAACTTTTATTTGTTTGCCACAATTAGTTCTTCATTTAAATTTTTTTCGTTTTACCGTTTAATAAAGATGATTAACATGTAATTTTATCATTAAGCCTCTTGCCTCAAAACATAATTTATCTACATTTCTTGTAAAAATTTTTAATTGAATGATGAAAGTACATGCTAGTCATATTTATTAAATGATAGTATTGGTTTTATAACCTTTGGTGGCTGATAATCGTAGAATACGTAGGATGGAAAGAAGATTTAGAAAAGGTGAAGCTTCCCCGAGATGTCGTTCCCTAAGGATGGCTAATGGGAATTGAACAATGTGCGGCTTAGCACAAGTGCGTAAGAGCCGTAGAAAGCTCGGTCTCAAACTTAAATAAAGACCATTATCAAAGCAACAAGAATTCTAAAGAAGCAAGTAAGTAAATCGATAGGACTAGGACAAGGTGTTCATTGGTTGGATGCAATAGAATAACCCTAAGTATAGGAAGTAGTATAATGCATTGATCATGATTCTTGGAAGGTGTTTCCATTGCCAAGCCACTCTCATGGTCTATTTGACCTATCCAGTAGTAAAGTCCTACTCTCATAGCAACCTTACTACTTGAGACATTTCATCGAACACTTAGAGTCCACATCTTCTTCCGAGCTCTACCTCTTGATGCAAAGTGGGAATTTCAAGTGGATTAGGCAATAGCGTAGTTCCAATCTCTTAGCAACTACACACCTCCAAGACCTATTGCGTGATATGACCATCACCATACAATAGTCTATACAAAGTCCACTTCTAACAAGAATCAAATCAAATACATCAAATCACTTCCTAATTGCAATCAAAACATACTAGCATCCTAAACAAGTAAACCTAATCCTAATTACCTAAGAATTAGCTAGACATTGTCACAATTGAATAGCTAAGATGAAGAATCAATAGAAGCATTTGAAAGGAAAGTAAATTGCAATTGAAATGAACACTTAGCTTTCATTATGAAAATAGGAAGATCAAATATGAAATTGAAGATTAAAAAGCAATTAAAAGTTGAATTCTTCCTCTAGATCTTCAATAATGTTGATGGATTACAATGTAGAAGTGTTTTGGAGAGTTCCTATGGAAGATGACCTAGAGAGAGAAGTCAAGGGATCAAAAGATAAGTCAAAACAACTTCTCCAAGCAATTTATAGTCGAAGTCCGCACCAAAATAACCGCTCTGGATTTGCTACTGGGCTCATGGTCATAGTCAAGTTCACGCCGTGAACTCAACCGTGACATTGCCCAATAGCTTACAGAGCACATGTGTCCACGGTGATGTTGTGAAGGTCGTCATGACCCCCCAAACCAACTCTCAGGTTCCAGGGTTCACGTTGATGGTCACCATCAGCATGACACCTAGAACCTACAAGCTGGTAAGTGTGGTCACGGTGGAGTTCATGATGTGAACTCCATCGTCACCACCTCTCGGAAGCACTTTTGGACACCGTTTTCGCTCCCTTACTCCGTGCCATTCTCTCGAGCTTCTATTTTGAACCTTTTAGCATTGATATCTTTTGAAATTGTTCTCTTTTCAAGCTTGTGCAAGCCTAAGCCTAATCTATCCTTCCTACCATCAAAACCACACCAAAAAGCCACTATTTATACCATTACCCAAAGATTTAACAAAAAATAAGAATGTGTAGAGCACAATTGTAAGTCTATTTGTGGCTTATCAATGGTTGACGGTTGGGCAACACAACCGATTGGAAGAAGATGAAAGTAATAAGAAAAGTTCAAACATGAGAGTGAATGTCGAAAACAATTTATTGCATTGAACTCATTGAAAAATCAGAACTCTTTACTCACACTTTTTCAGGGTATTTAACAAGAGGCAATAGAACAAATAAGGAAAGAAATATCCCTAAAAAATGGTACAAATCTCCGGTCAATCACACACCGGATTAGGCTCAAACAAAGTTCTTAAAATAATATATCACTTTCCTAATTTAGACAAAGGAAAGTACTTCACTAAGGCAAGAAATCTCCATAAATCATGACCATTAATGCCCTCGACCCCCCCCCCCCCCCCCCTTTATTATCTATGGGAGCTTATTTGGGGAACTTACTTCACTACTTTGCCCAGGGATCCGGTGTCGGGCAATCTATTTGAGGTTGCCTGAGCAACCACTCTACGGCTGACCACCCAAGTCCCAGTATCCCATCTATCATCCAGTCCCCCACTTTCTTGCATGCAGCTCACAAAGTTTACGATGCAAGAAAGTAGCAGAAAAACATTGTTCCACCACTTTCTTACCCTTTACTACCCACCTCCCTTATTGTGTTCCATTTCCTCCAACCTTCGCTCCGAGCACCTTACATACAAATCGACCTCATCCGGCCACTTTCAGCATGTTGGGTACCCTTCTCCTTTAGCACAACCATTCAGGCCTCCTGGATAGAGTGCATTCGATTTTCCCAGAAATCTAGCTATGATTAATGCGGTATAAAAGCCTAACTACATGAAACATAGTGCGGCGCGATAATTTTTTATCTTCCCACTTCTCAAAATCATCTAGTTACCCATCTCTTTGCTTGACACACCGTTGGATCCTCGCTATGTGTCCCCATCTCACTGACCATCCTCCTCTATAAATACCCTTTGGCCCTTTCTAATTTCCCTTCTTGCTTTCAACCTCCCATCGTAATCCCCATTAGATACCTGGTTTCCATGCTTACGGACTAGTAGTCCACCCCAAATTTCGTTCCACCGCACAAAGCCATTCCTTTTCCCATGTGAGCCATCACGTCCACCTCCCCTCCTCCTCTTTTTCTTCTTCTTCTTCTTCTTCCTCATCTTTTTCTTTCGTCGAGCACCCCTGCATTCCCCAAACAGGTCGAGTTGGTGTTACCGACTACCTCGAGCCCTTCACTTCTCACCCACGCTCCCCTAAACCTCCTCATACTTACCCTATATTCTTCCATCTAACTCTCCCTCAATTGCACCACCCGCTCTCCCAGATCTAACCTTCATTACCACTACCCATACTTATTTTCATCTCACCATTTTCACACCACTCTCATTGTTCCCTTTCTATGCCATCCACCCCATTGGCTTCTTCGCCCGTGGTCCCAAATTCTTTGATAACAATCTAAACTTTGCCATTCTCTCCTTGATGGTGGCAATATTTCCATCCACCTCCATTCCATCTTCTATAAATTTTGATTACCGCCCGCCCCCCTTACTCAACCAAATTTTCTAGTATTTTGGCACAGTATCCCAACTATCCCCCAATTCCCATCGCCTAATCTCTTATTTCCTAGCAGTTTTCCATCGCCAGAATATCCCTGCCACTCTCCCCCATTTTAGCTGGCTCTTTCAAGTTACCTAGTAGTCCGGTATGGACACACTTCCCCTGCTATGTTTCCATCTCCTAGCGAGATGGCTAGAGTTTCCTATCTGGTTCTGATTCTTCCATCAAGAAATTGAAAGAGTCATTCTCTTCGTTCGCCCAATCCGCCACACCTTTGACTTCCACCCATCATGGCGTCAATCCTACTACCGCATGCCAAATCCCTCTCATCCCAATCCCAAGCTGACCAGCCCGAATGCCCATATCTAAGGGCTTAGGTTCTTTGGAGTTAACACCTGTGAAAATTCATACATATTGTTCCTTTTTTATGTTGATTATGCAACCATTATCCCCGTGTATTCATTCTTTCATTCTTGCCCTCGTGTTTATATTCATCATTATTGCATCGAGGATGATGCAACATTGAGTTTGGGGAAGGGGTCAAAATGGGACAAAAGGGTTTTACAAACTTTTTGTTTGAACTATTTTATTTTGGCAAATTCTTTAGTCATCTGTAATTAATGTTAGCATATTGTGAATTTTTGTTTTATCTTTTGTATATCCATTATGTTGAGTATTTGTTGAATATCTCTTTTTCCCTTAAAAGCTTTTAGAACATGACATTTACACTTTTAGAGTTTAGAGCCACACTTAGCATACACACCATACATGAGATTTTGGAATGATAAAACACGAGTTACACATCCACTACATCCCTGTTTCACCTTATTTATCCTTCATTTACCCCTTAGGTGTAACCCAGTTGAACATAACATGTTCGTTTATTAATGACCCATTAAGTTAGCTCTTCTTACCACATGGCCTTTATATTTCCCAACTCTAATGTGCACAACTCTTTGGTTTTTGGGTTATATGGTTAATAGTCCAAAGTAAACAATAATGCGGCAATAAGACAAAAGGAGAGTTTGTGAGATTTACTTTAATCCCGTCCCCATTATGAAAGAGGCAATCTGTGGGTTTTTGAGGATGCGAAAGAGACAATTCTAAAATACTAAAAATTTCTTTGCAACCCCTAATTGTATTTAAGTAAAAAGAAGAGTGGGTGAGAACAACTTCGTAGGAGCCGAGTTTTGAATTACATCCAAATCTATAACTAAATTTGTGATAGGGCATTCAATTCTCTAAGGTGAAGCTCTAGAAGTTGCAAAAAAAAAACCAAAAAAAAAAAAAAAAAGTTAAGAGTGAATAAAACCTTGCAAAATTGTGAAATAAGTGGCTTATGTCACAGCTTTGTTCACCAATTAAGGACTTTGGGAATTGAGAAAGCAGTTTGAATTGACTTGTGCATCATTTGTTTGAATACCTACTCTTTGATCCATCTCATTGGCCTTTCTTGAGAAGACCTTTAGATCAAGTCCTGTTTGTGTCTAGTAATGTGTGGAGAGAACCCGTTTTCAAGAAACTAAGTGTGGGAGTATTTTCTTAATAGAGTTTGTCTTTTTTTTTTTTTTTTTGGTTAAAAAAGAGTTGTTACATACTTACTCAACTTTTGGATATAACCTAAGATGTTTAAAAATTCATTTGGTTCTTTTATTGACCATTTCTCACTTTTGAATTTGCTTAGATGGAATGTTTGAACAATCATTTGTTAGTTCTCTTATCTTGTTCAACTTTAACTGTTTGAGGAAAATCAATGGTTTAAGTATGGGGGGTTTATAACCTCTTTATTTGACTATATTTTGCCTCTTATTTTAACCCATTTTGTGTATATTTTTGCCTAGAAATTTATGAACTAGAACTAATTCATGTTTCTTTATCTATAGTTGTTCCCATTCATGTAATAGAGGAAAAGGAGAATATTGGAGTAATTTTAGCCGAGATTGGAGTTGAGAAGTCATTGGATATGAGTAGAGCACACTTTAGAGTAAATTGGGAAGATATTGCGCATAATTGGGTGAAACAAGGACATGGAAACACCCTAGCAGGGGCACGAACATCTAAATGCTTGTGACCATGCCTGTATCTAGATACGGGCTGCTTCACAGTCGTGAGGTAGAAATGTGTGCAAAAGGACAGTGACACACATGTGTCGTTGCCCGTGTGCCTATCCCCGTTGCACATTTTTAATTTGTATTTTTAGACTTGAGAATAAGATTCGAACCCTAGGCATTAGAGAGACTTTTCCTTGCTTTCCAAAAGTAAATATTCTTCTAAAATTTGGGATTTAGACTTTTGCTACTTTACGTTTGTAAGCATTACATTAAAGATTCTACTTCAAAAGTTTGGTTGGATCATTTCTATTTGAAGATAAGTGTTTTCATTGCTTTTATATTTATAGCTTTAATGATGATGTCTTTTACCTATGTTTTTGCTTTATTTTTCTTTATGTATGTGTGAGTAGCCGTATTTAGGATTTGGGTTGAGGTGTGCTTGAAATTCTAAATGCCTATTTGATGATTATTGCATAGAATGGGGAAAACCCAATCTAGGGTTCCTAATGTCGTGGAAAATATTGAGTATTCTTGTTTTAAGGTGGGGTGCACAACATTCGTAGTACTAATCTTTGTAGGGAATTCAATCGCAACAAGAGTTGGATTGACATTCCCATAGCCCCTTCTTGCAACGCGCTCTTTCTATGGAAATAGGGAGGTTAGGGACATTGGATTATTTGGGCTTTGTTGAAGGAGAATTGATGCATCACAAAAGGAGGGTAATTCTCATCTTCAACTCAGGTTTTCTTTCTCACGAA